TTTTAGTTAATTGATGTTGCTGAGTCCAAAAAATTTATAGGTACTCAATAAGCCCTAGTATCTAATTTCATAAGGTGCAAGGACCTCTAACCATGCATAAAATATATTTTCTGTAGTATCTTACCGATATGATGTGAGCAGAATGACAAAGATCACCATGTGGTATAGGTTAAATAGCTTATAGAGTCTCTTGAGTCTTACCCAAGAAAGATTAGGGTGTGATGATATATAATATAATAGTTTTTAATTATAAACTTCACTTTTCGATTCATTTTTATCCTCTCTTTTTTTTTTCCTTATATTTCTTATTATATCACATTTCATATTTATTGTTTTTCTTTGTACCTTTTCTTCTTTTTTCATTTTCTTTTTTCCATCATGATATACGTCAAAATGGGTGAACATTAATTTTTCAACCTAATTTTGTCAAACTATTAAATAGGGTTAATTGTAGAACAATAATCAATAAATTAAAATGTAATTTATTTGTCTTCTTAAAAAACACTTTTAATTAATCTAGTGGCATGAAACACCACAAAAAAAATTAATTATTCCCTTCTATTTTTTTTTAATTTAATCCCCATTAAAAATTTATTTACGATTCATAAATTTTGATAAAATGTTTTTTATATATCACATACATGGACAACAACATTAAATTACTATTATATGTTATCATTCATGTATCCTAATTAAAATTAATGTGAACTCCCTAATTATTAATCCCCTCTTAATGCTATATCTTTGACATTATCCTAGTCTTTCTTATTCATTAACGTAATTCTCAAAATCTTTATAAATTAACTATGCAAGTGGCCGTCCAAAAATGAAAATATAAAAAATATTTTACCAAATTTTAAAGATTAAATTGCTAAATATAAGAATAAATAGAGAAAGAACTTGGTAACAATTTTTATTTATTTATTTTAAGAATCTAATTATAAAAAAAAATTTAAAAATCATTAAACAGATGATGTATTATATATATATATATATATATAAAGTTGACTAACTGAAAACATGATTTTTCAGCACAGTGAAAAAGTAATAAGATATATGCTATCCTCTTAGAATAAATAGCATAGAATATCTAAAGTCTCAATCATATGTTGTCCCAGGCATACAGCATGCAGCATGATATGAGGGTGTAGTTATGTATGAATTTGACATGAAAACATTTGTTGGTAAGACTTTGATTAGATGTAGGAATTAGTAATGGTGAGAATGAGATTCAAGCGGTGTTGCTCAGATCTCAGATGCCAACACACATCCACATCATATCAATCACTAATTGACTATACAGTATACACACACCCTGTGAAAGAAGAAGAAAACTATGAAAAGTTCTCTGTTGTGTACATGTCACCAAAATATTTACTTCCTCCAGTCCAGAGGGGAATATTATTGCCAGTGCATGTAGTAACAGATCACATGAAGAAAGGAGGTTATGCACAGTAAATTATATTTCCATAAAATAGAAAAGCAAGGTAGGAAGACAATATTATATATGTGAATGTGATTTGTGAGTATTGCTGTTGAAGATTGAATTTGTAACATGCTTAGTGTGTGGATGATATTGAAAGCAATAGCATGCAAGTTAGGTAAGGAAAGTGCAGGACAATGTATATGGACCGCCGACCACCTGATCAAATCTAATCACACTTTATTCTCTCATTTTTATGCTATGAAAGCTGAATGCGTGATTCACATGCACTTTGAAAATTATGCCCACACAACGTCACTGCATATTTCACTTTCTATCTTTTTCACCTAATTACTTACTACTATTTTATACATATAGTACCTGCATATTTGTATTTATATAGTTAAATTTTCATGAGAAATAAATGTCTTTAAATATGCTGGCCATTGGACAAGTTCTTTTCCAACTAAAAATCAAAAACTAAAGCAAAGTTCAGTTAATCTGTGGGAACCATGTATATATACATTGAACGGCATCTTCCACAGTGTGTGTTAGTTTCCTTATATCTTTGTGGAATTTCTCAAAAAGATAATCTGATTTTATCCCTCATTCTTTTTAATACAATTCATTTCATATCTTCTTTCCTATTTTCAAAATTACGATATTAAGCTAAAATAATTTTGTGCTAATAGATTTATCAATTAATTAGTTAGCTCATTCCATCTCTTTAAATTTAAGTAGAATTATATTGAACTTAATAATAAGAATTGAAATAGTATATATAGAATCTTAAATTCAAATTTTAATGTTTTAATTGTAATTTTAATAAATAAAAAATAAAATAAAATTATATTTACAATATATGATAAAATGTGTGTACACACAATATAAGCCATAATTTTATTATATAAAAAAATCACTTACTTATAAATAAAAATGTTAAATGTTAAAATTATTAATACTTAACATGAGTCTACATTACTATGGTGAAATATACTAATATATCAATTTTTTTTATATGAATATATTTTTGTTTACTATGTAATGTATCATTTTGTTAGTATATATGATCCCCGATATCAATATTAATAATATATTTTTTACTGTAATTTAACACTAAATTATTATTATATTATTTTTGCAAGGTCAAGGGAAAATGTAAGGCAAATAGTAGGTGTAGTATGCATTAATTTTGTTTAGTAATCAATTTTATCGATAATTAATATAAGATTTTCGTCTACAAAACTAAAGTATGATACCATACTTAAGAGACTCCGACGTAATTCTACTTGGACAACCAAGATTTTTTTATATAAATTAATAAATATTAGAACAATGCTACTAGCACATATTTCAATTACAACATAGGTATTTTTTTTTTTATTTTCTTTCCCACTTACTTAGTATGAATAATTTTCTAGGTAAAGAATTTGTTAACAAGAGGCAGGCCCAGAACTAATTGTTTCCAAGTTTTAAGAATCATGCCCATTGTAAAATATGTTGGGCCAAAATTACGAAGCATGAAATTTAAATAGCATGTGTTCATACAATCTAATAATATTACGATGACACCTTTCCAGGCCCATTATAGTCAGCTGGACCAAAATTACGAAACTCATGATATATATACTTTCTTATTTTTTTTAAGTGCACCTCTATGATTTATTTTTATTTTTTAAAATATCCTTAATCCTTTTATTATTCTTTAATTTTTTTAATTTTATATCTTTAATTTTCAATTTATCACTTTTCTTTTCTTTTTCACACACATCCTTTTTTCTTCTTTTCAATTTTTACCTGCACGCGTTTGTTTTTCCTTCACTTTCACCTATTTTAATAAGTAATTTTAATTTTATCAATTTTTACATTATTCTCTTATCTCTTAGCTCTTTTAATTTTCACTTGCACCTGGACTATAGAACTGATGCGTGACAATATTGTAGGCACGTGTTACTTTTTTTACAATTTCAAAGGTGTCAAGTCAGATGTACATTTTTTCTTTGAACATTTTTTCCTCTTTCACACCTCCAGAAACCTTAACATTAAATTTAGTGTTCTAAAAATTGTTTTTGGAATTGTGTTTTCTACATTCTTCCGATAAGTACTTTCCGAACAATAAATTTACTATTCTAAAAAAAAAAAAAAACTTTCCAGAATTATGTAAAATAACATAATTTTGGAAAACACTAAATTTATGTTGTCAAAGAAGTCACATGCACTTATAATATTGTCAAAAATCAATTCTATATCCTAAATGCGTGTCAAAACTAAAAGATGAGAGAGAGAATAATAGTGTGAAAACTGAAAAGAGGAAGAAAGTAATGTAAAAAATTAAAAGAATTAAAACTACTTACTAAAATAAATGGGAAAGTGAGAGAAAGTAAGATGTGCATGTGAAAACTGAAAAGAGAAGGGAAAGAGATGTGCCAA